TCTACAAAACGATGTGTGATCCCATGCTTATAATAAGTCAAGAAAATACCCTATTGGTCTTTGCATTATAAGACAGCTGAGACATAGTTTGGAGACAGCAGATACGTATCCAATGCAGGTTTTTGTAAAGCTAATATTATTTGAGTTCTCCAAGAATCACATTCTATTTAAGAGGCATGTCAATTCTCCAGCTATCTCTCCCCAAAAACTTGGATATCAGAATTTTCAAGGGATCATGAGGGCTTGAGCTGGCTGGCTATTTAAATTGTATCAAATAAAAACCATAGACCAAATACAAAAGTTAACCAACCAAGCCAACAAAATAACAAAAATAAAATGTGGGCAATTTTAAAAAGCAGTATAATATCATTTACAAATAAATAAAAAGCAAATATTTCTTTTCGAACACTGCAACACATTTATTTACATAGAAAATAGCCATAATTTTTTTCATGCAGGTTTTAATGTCAAAGAATTTGAGCATTTAAATTTTTTTTTTCTGAGACTATCTGGCAAAAGAAAAATATCTCTAATGATAACTTCTGACGTACAAAAGGGAGAATACATTTCTGGGATATTTTAGAGAGATTTGGATTCCTGTCACTTAGTGGCATAATGATTTAGAGTTTTTATAAGATTGATACTAGATAAAAAATATCTTGAATTGATGAAGGGAGTCCTAAAAAATGAACCATCAGACTCACTATTCGTCAGAGTAAAAATAATATAGCAATAACTATATGATTTCTAAAATGGTAAGTAATAAAGTTTAGATAAGGCAACTCCGCATAAAACTTAGCTGAATATTGCACTAGAGTTAAACTTCCTTCTTTATTTCATCTATTTCAGTAGCAATGGAAAGTGTGATATTATGTCTTTGCTCCTCGAAGAATTAATTTTGCAACTTGGCTATATGCATAATAATCAGTGAATAAGAACTATAGGGAAAATTACCTTTTGTACTCCTCTCTCTCCAATCTAAACATGGCTGTACAGTGATTACAATAAAACATATAAAGCAACCTCAATGTTGGTCAACCAGCATAATTGAAAAAAGGTAGCTCTGAACAAAACCAAATTAGAAACAACAACAACTCAACTCTAAATAGTAATAATAAAAGATCAATAGGAACAGACAGCTCTGTCCTTTCAGATACACTGACACCATTTTAGCCTACGGCATGGGGTTTTTCTGTGGAACTTCAAGTACTTTCACAACTGGAGTTTTATGTAGCCCAATTAACTTTGGCTAGACACAGAAGTCTGGCTCACTGTTCCCATGCAGTAGCCAAAATAAAGGTTTTCTGTATCAAGAATCACTGTCGGAGTCTCCAATATCCTTCCTTCTCTCCTACTAACCTAAATCTGGAAAATAAGCTAACAGCCAAGTAGTTTTTATTACAATTTAAATCAATATTAATTTTATTGGCTCACAAAAGCTGCAAAATATTTGGCTTAAATAAACTCAACAGGAAAAAAAGACAAAAAAAAATTCAAAAGCAAGCATGTGCACAAAGCTAGAGAAGTCACATGGCTTTAGAAACAACTAGAGAATTATCTGAAATATAATAATGGAAATGTTATTCCTTCCTTTCTTAATGCATGTCCAATTTTAAATTCATGGCATTAGCCCTAGGTAACAAAGTTCAAACAAGAAATAAATCACGATTTTAAGCACAGCAATTCCAACTCAGCTTGTGTTTAGTATTTTAATTGGACATGACATTGGTATGAAAGTTCCAAATAAATTAAAAGAGATGTCACTTGGGTCCAACTGTATTAGCATGGAGGCTACTAGTGACTTTAATGTAGAAGTATTGCCCAGGGGACCCTGGAAAATTTGTATTTGAAGTAAAATGTAGGATCTAAAAGTGACGATAGCCTAAAACCGAAGTCCTATGTTCATGACCTCTCACACCTAATAAAAAAAAAAATGTGTTTAACCACACAAACTAAATTAGTATTTAAAGGCAAAGTCTAAAAATAAGTTTTAAAAAGGGGTAGGGGAGACATAGTGACTTATTTTTAAGAATCACTAATCAGTGCCATCAGGCATACCAAGGGGAAAAAAATTCCACACTTAAAATTATTTAATATAGATTGAAAATCAGTGACACATTCAGAAAACCTTGAGGTTGGATTTAATTCTATTTTTAAATTGTTAAGTAACTTTTGGGGACTGTTCCTCAAATCCTTGAAGCTCAGTTTCTTCATTTATAGAAAGGAGATAATATTTGCTAAAGGTTGTCAAGCTTCTGTGGAATAACATGTCAAGCACAGGAATTCAGGAGATGCACATCTCTTCTATGTCCCCTCCCCTTCAAGCATTTCTGAAGATGACTCTGTGTCTACTCTCTCAGTACATCACTCTCATCCATGCCTGGCATGGAGTGATAAATCTAAATAAATATGTCAAATAAATTAAGGAACTGAGGGATAAACAAGTATTTTAAAAAGCCTTGTACCTAACTCTTCAACAACTTAAAAAGACAAGACAGTGAAATGCCACATACTAAAGAAATAAAACGATCAGTAAAGACTTATTCCCTGTCCCATGCCCAGTGTCAAAAGACAGACACAGATTTATGTGTGCTATTCAATTTGGAAGTGCTAATGTTGATGATACTCAGAGCAATGTGAAAGGAACTTCAGAGAAGGGGAAAAATATATATATAACTGCTTGAGAGAGACAGGCAAGACTTCACAGAGGAAATAAAATTTCAACAGGCAGAGAAAGGAAAAGGACATTTTTGGCAGAGGAATTAAAAAAACGATATGATCTATAGAATGTTCTAAGGCATTCTGGGAAACCCAAATCCCTTTGAACTTTTCTAAATACTATAAATATTACATGAATTCTTACAGAAAAAACTTATAAAAAAGTATATTGAGTGAATCATTCCACTGACTATAATAAAAGTACTAATAATCATTTTTCTCTAATTTGTCTAATAAAAAATATAATTCTTATATAAAAACCCTACTCTATAGTACAAATTTACTATAGGTACAAGTCCATTTTACATAGTTTTCTTTTGGTTACTTTTGACCAAAGGGTAAAACGCACAACAATTCCATTTCTATTCTTATTCTGTTAAGACTAGAAACCAATTCCATTTCATACTACATTTAAAACATCCAGAAGTCAAATGTGTGGCATTTTCCACCTTGTCAATTTCACGTTAGGTTAACGGCATATTACCAGGCTAAAAAACCCATAATTAGACAACCCCCCCAAAAAAAAAATCCACTGGGATCAGAAATTTGCCAAATCTTTAATTTACAAAGAAACTATTAAAGATGGTTGTGGGGTTTTGGCCTTGTTAGTTTAAGCCATTCTATAATGGGGTTTGTATTTCATTTAATCAGCAATTTGGAAACTATAAAACTCTTAGAGGGGGGAAAAATTAAAAATTTGGATTGTAATACATGAGTCTTTCCTTCTCTTCCATATGTTTCTGTAAAGTAAAACTTTTAAATCTTGTGTATTTTTTTTTTAAAAAAACTTCTAAAAAGAAGAAAGCAGCCTTTAAATTTATACTTTTGGTATAGGAAACTTAAAATATTCGGCCTTGAAAAAAAAAAGACACATGGTTTCTATATCCAGTACCATGGTCTAGGCATATTCAGAATTAGAATTATGTATATTAATCCTTCAATTTTTTTCATTTCCAACATTTTTTGGGGGGGGGTTGAATCCAGAAATCTGTAACTTATAGTTATTTTTGAAGGTGACCATTTAGCAATTTAATTTAAAATATTCCCATTTTCATTCCAAAACAAAAGCTTAGATAGTAGGAGAAACAAAAAGTATAGGAATTCTTTTCTTACATAAAATTGTGTGAAACATTATCCCATCAGGATGGGTACCAGGAATGATTTTCATAAGGTACAACAATTATTTTTGTAAGTGATTAAACAAGATATATTAGGATGTTCTAAATAGAAACAGCAATTTGTACCTTTCAAATCTGAGTTGTGATCTCCTATTCTTCTTCTGTTCCTTCCGGGACTTCCACAGTGATTTCTTTCACAATGTATTTTTTCATACTTTTTATTTCCTATTTTTTTCTGTTTATGTTATCATATTTTTATTTCTAAAAGCTCTTTCTTTCTTTTTTGGTATTTGTATTTTTTCAGAGCATCCTGCTTAATGATATGCTATGGCACCATCTCTAAAAGGTTTCTTCAAGTTAGCTTTACCGAATAATTTGTTTTAGTTCCTATCTTTGAATTCACTTTGGATTCACCTTCCTGACCATTTGCTCTCTGTTTATCTAATATGCATTTATTTTTATTAACACTGGAGACATCAGGTGAATACAGATATTAGGAATAAACTCTAATTCTACTACTTAGCTGTGTGAGTTTAGAAAGCTTAATTTTTTTAACCATCCCCTATTGTGTAATATAAAGACATGAAAATTACTTTTAAATACATAAAATTATTTTTATGTATCTCACCAGTTTTGTATCTCACAATGGTAGAATATCAGCAATTTCTTACGCGCTTCATCTAACACCAGTTTCACAAAACTGTGCCCTTAGGGAGTGTTTGTCACAGTGGGTGGCCAACTGGTATCCTCCACTTGTCTTATAGAAGATTTTATTAGATGGAATTCCAACACTTATGAAGTTTTATATGATGATGGTCATTTGAAATAATCAGATTTAGCTCTAATTACAACCAATTTAGGGCTAAGGTTGGTTTGTAGAACATAATATTTATGCATATATTGCTGTTAGGACACAGTCATTATGTCATCACATATATGGAGTTCTCCATTTAGTTTTTTTCCATTAAATCACATGTCAGATCTTATCTAGGCCAAATACTGGATAATAAATATTCTATAATTTCCGTACAGGGTTCTAATAATATCACTGTCATTAAGTCCTCACCTGTGTTAACAGGTTCAGAATCACTACCTCAAAAGGTATCTATCCAGATACACATGGGGAAAACCAACTTGTAAAGAGTGAGGAAGGTAGTTACTCACTGTCAGAGCTAGCAGTTTCCCATAGGTGAGATGGGCAGGGATGTGGTCAGTCTTGGATTTCAGTGATTCCATATACCAATACTCTGCTTCTGGGAGCTTGCTTAATCGCATGTATGCTTCACCTGGAAAAAAAATTCTGAAGATCAAACTGAGGTTGCAGGTTCTAGTGAGCTACTGAACAGCAGGATGACTACAGATAACGTCTCAATAAATGAGAAAAAAGGAAATTGAATGTTTTAAAAATAAATAAATAATAAATGTTCGAGGAGTGAGATATGTTTACTCTGATTTCAACATTATATGATGCAGCACACATGGTAGCACATAAATATGTATAATCTTAAGGTTGTTTATATATCAGTTAAAATACATTTAAATTTATAATGAAAGTTATAAATAAATAAAAAATTGACACTAGGCTTTTCAACAACATTTGCAATATCACCACCACCAACACCACCACCATCATTATCATGTTTACATTCCATGGGATTTCAGATACTATGGCAAGTACTTTCATTCATTTTCTCATTTGATTTCCAAATAAGTCATTATGACTTTCATTTAATAAATGAAAAACTTTGTGATTGGAATATGAAGTGAAATAGCTATTGCTAAAAATTTGGTTAAGTAGTACAGCTTTGATTTTTAACCTAGTGACATCTGATTCTTTTACTTTCTTTTTTTTTTTTTTTTTGGTTTACTTTCTTTTTATTTTTTTATTGGTTTTATTTTTTAAATACACGACAGCGGAATGCATCACAATTCATTTTTTTTTAAACATCAGAAATTTATTAGTTGCTCAAAACATTACATTGATCTTGACATATCATATATCATATATTGTTTCAAATGGGGTATGAATTCTTATTATTCCCACGTGTACAGACTGCAGGATCACATTGGTTATACTGCCATGTTTATACATACTGCCATACTAGTGTCTGATTCTTAAGCACAGGTCCTTTGTCACTATTTGTTTTTTGAGACACAAGTTGGTTCTTCCTTCTGTACATTTATTCTTTTTTGTTCACATTCATTCATTCGTTCATTCTTTTGGAAGTTCAAGTATTTACTGAATAGCTACTAAGTGGAGAACCCTACATAGGGACCTCAGGAAAGAGTTGTGACATCCTACCCTCCAAGGTAATATGACCATGTTAAGAAAGGTTGAAAATGTTTTGGAATTAAACAATGGTGTTAAGTTTCAACTTTTTTCAGAATAATTTGCATATGTAAATAATGTCAATATACAAAAATTATAATATTACAATAATTTTATAGACTCGTAGATAATTATTATATCAATATGTAAATAAAATTTACCAGTTTCATTTGGAAAATCCAGTGAATGTGTGACAATTAAGCATGCTCAGCTTTAATCCTGTGCAAAGCTACTCTGGGGACTTGCAGTCATTGGTTATTACTTTCAAGTTATACAAATTTTAGCTACAAAACTTATTAGCATTTCAATAACAACCAAGCAGGAAAAAATATGGAAGTAAAGCCAAAAGAGTACCAGTTGATTGGTTATTGTCATTACCCTTTCCCTCTTAATAGAGTAAGGAGGGATATTCAACCTATAGAAAAAAGTTATATTTTAATGTGACTAGTATATTTAAGTTAAATATTGTAGTTTAATAAACATTACAAATGTAGATGCTATTCAGTTTCTGACACCAGGAAATAGCTTAGTAACGTATTATTTCCCAGAGAGACCTTTGTAGCTTAACCAATCATAATCATTATAGTCTTTTCCACTAGAAGCACAGAATCCTTTTCTAATGTATTACCCACATTGGCTGTCACTTTTTTGCTTCAAAGAAAAACTCTCTACCTTTTGAAAAGTCACATTTTTTTTTATTAGCACAGTAACTGTCAGTACAAATATGTCTGATCAATTAAATTAGTTTGAGTCTCCTGACCTTTTAAATGCCCTATGCTTAAAAAGAAAAAAGAGAAAAGAAAGAAAAGAGAAAAATAAAGAAAAAAATTGATGACAAATAATGTATAATATGAACAAAAATGTATGTATCTACTCAAACATATATATTTGTATTTATTTCTCAGAACAGTCTGTAAACTACACCATCATAAAAAAGAGAGGTGAAAACATGTTTGTTTGTCCCCCGCCCCACACAAAGTACAAAACATGCGTACATTAACAGATAAAATGCATGTTTAGGATAAGATGCAAAAAAACAGGGAAGTAAAGACCAAAGAATAGGAAAGAATATACACACACACACACACACAAAAAATGCTTTTAGTTATTAGAATGAGTTTGGGAATGGATTTTTTTTTTTTTTTAGTTTTCCAAAATTTCTGTAATAATTTTCTTGTTTATACTTTAATACCTCTATAAAAACTGATATATTATCAGATAGATTTTGGGGGGGTATTGAACAAATGTTTCCAAGTAAATAATTTTTCTTAGGAGAAGTGAGGTATTTTTTCATACTAAAATAATACTAGATATGGCTTATACCACAGAAAAAATGCAAGCCCTAAGACACAAACATTAAGAGGTTTAAAATGATTAATGGGGGCTGGGGCTGGGGCTCAGTGGTAGAGCATTTGCCTCTCATGTGTGAGGCCCTGGGTTCGATCCTCAGCACCACATAAATAAAATAAAAAGGTATTGTGTCCACCTACAACTAAAAGAAAAAATAAAAAAATAAAATGATTAATGACTAAGTTTGCCTAAACCTGTATCTATAAAAAACAGATCACAAGATATAAGGCAGATGATCCCGCATCAGGGGTTCTATTTGTAATCAACATGAAATTCTACTTCTAATTCACCTGTCCAAGTGTTCACAGAACAGTTTTTAAAGTTGTACAGCTACCACATTTAATGTGGCTTCCACTTCTTATTTATAAAAAAAAAAGTAACTTATTTTTAGAATAATAATAGTAGGACCTCTGTACAGAAAAAGAATATACAATAAGCCCAAATTCAGAGTGCTCTTGAGATTCAAACTTTCATTACATTTACTAAGGTCTAAAATTCATTTCAGAATACAGGACTGCTTTTTACCCATGTCAGAAATCTATCATTATTGAAACCTATTTTGAAAGAAAATATTAATTTACTAAATAATCAGTGGATGGTCCATTTCCTTCAGTAAGCACTCATAATTTGTAAGGTTTGTGAGATAGGGAAATATTAAAGGGCTACAAATATGTAATGTAACCATGCATCTTGGCAAGCATATGAAAACTGATAAATAACCAGTTTCTTTAGATACCATTCATTCTAACTTGGAAAAACTTCATGTAATCATTCATTGTATCTTAATAGCAAATGATTACAGTAGTAGTTCTACATTAAGTGTGAACTATGAATTGGAGTACCGAGTTACAAGTGGCAATGTCCTACTTATATGTATCCACTCTTCCTATTCTACACATATGGACATGCAGAACTTGTTCTCTCAGCCTCATTAGCAGCTTTAACACATTACTCCATCATCCCACTAATCAACTGTTCATAGTGTAACGTGAAACCTATTTTCAAACTCTGTATTAGTTGCTTTATATATGCATCTCACTGGTTATTAAGAAATGTCATTATCTGGATTTTAGAGATGAAAAAGATGATCAGCAGAGTGACTATGTAACAAAAAATCATAAACATACTAAGTGGTAAAGCGGCAATTTAAATCCAGGACAACCTGTCCTCAACACATTGCTTTAACTAGATGGTGGAGGATAATCACAAATAGTCCAACTTCTCAGCTCAGGTGAAAATGATACTCTTACTCATAGAAAATCGTTTTCTAGCTGAAATACATTGGCCATCAAGATTCATTTCACTCTGCCTTGGGCTTATCTATTGAATTAAAAGAATAAGGAAGAGCAATAGTAATCCAGGGCTGACCTTAAAAATGCTTCCTACACATATGTTATTCAATTCTTAAGAGGAAAATATGTGGAATATAAGACATAAATTGTTTTTATGGGTAATCTGCACACACGTGCACACAGATGTCCATAAATACGAAAATAAAATCAAGATACAAAACCTGAAATGCAAAAAAATAAATCAGGGATAAATGGATGTGTTAAAAAGGCAACCCATTAAAGATTTTAGCAACAAATAATACAAGAACAAGTACTTGCTATGTTGCTAGCACCGGCAAGATAGAACTTCACATTTCTCATTTATAATCTACAATAATGAGTAATATATCCATTTTATGAAGGGAGAGGAAGGTTATAGAATGAGGAGTGACTTGCACAGGGACAATAATGCCATCCTAAAAGGACCAAATGGCTCTAAAGCCATGATGTTTTCCTATTGTGTCAAGCTGCCTGACACATGCTTATTATTTATTGGCTATCTACAGACATCTTAAATATATTATCTTTCTATCTTTACATTATCCATATACTGTAATTAACATCAGTCTCATATTATAAATGAGGTAAATGTGACTCACTGAGCTTAACCGATTTGCTCAAAATCAAAAACAAGCAAATGCCAAATTCAGAATTCATATTAAGAGTTTTCTCTGGCACTTTCCACTACATCATGCTATACAAATGACGGCAAAAGTGCCATAAATGGATGTACTTTTAAAAGGGAGGTATGTAATAGGTCAAGCTTGATTGTATTATTAAAATTGTAAAAACTCCCATAAAGGCAATAGTCACAGGAAAAGAAATTTCAGTAAATTCAACAAGGGAGAAAATAATAAGAAAGATAGTTGGTCAGGAATAGGGTGGGGAAAAGAGGGTTAAGTTATCTTCTCTCGTACAGTAACTTTTTTTAAATTTACAATAACAGAAAAAATGTTTATAATACCCAGGGGCAAAGAAGCAATGATGACTATTTTTCCTTCCCATCCTGGAAAAAAAAATGACATAATAGAGGTCCTTTCGTAAGAATGAGAAGATTTGCTGTGCGATGATATAGCGATCAGGTTCATCACCCAGATTTATTTCCAATTCACTCACAGACAAAAGGGATTTGGATGTCTCTCGGCTGGCTTCAGGCAGATGTAAACCAGTTTCAGATGTAGAACAAATAATGTCACTCTTCCTCCCTAAAAAGCCCCATGTCAAATAACCCAGGCAAAGGCTAACTCCTCAAGGAAAAAATACTGGGTTATTGATG